TCCTGCTTCTTGTCAGCGTAATCACACACACACACATACGTATTTTTTTCCCTATCTCCACTTTGGATGTCAACCTGTAACTCTCTTCTCTCTTTTCCTGGTGATTTTCTCATCCTTCTCACTCCTACAGAACTGCAGAAAAGTCACACACTAGGACACACTAGGACTACTCCAAACCCAGTGCCACTTGATGCCAATTTTTGTGAAGACAGACTGTATGTTTTTAACTCTGCAACCAATACCAAAGTAAGCCACACCAAAGCCTACCTTTTAATGTTTCACTTTCCCTGATAAGGAAAGCTCCAGGACCATTTCCAGGAGCCAGGAGTTGTCTTTCGGCATCTTTTCGGGTTATGTCTTTGAAGAACCATCTGAAAAATATTTCAAAGAGTTAGGACCCTCTCTTTCCCCCACCTACAAAGGATACACCACCAGGGTCAAGAAGAGGTTTGCCAGTATTTAGAGCCTGGGAGAACTTACTCTTCTGTTTCCAAGGTGTTTACTTTTGCTACGTAGTTGCTGGGAATGAAACCTTCCTTCCTTGTTGTGAGAGATTTTGCTTTCCACCATTCTCCCAGCCTGAAAAACAGAAACAAAAGTAGTATTCACAGGAAAGGAAAATTATAAAGTGTTATTTGGGTTCTACTGTGCTGAGAGCTTTGCCCGTGCTGGAGAGAGAAGAATCTTTTCCCTGAACTCAAGCTCCCTGAGAAGCCATTGGCTCTGTCGGATCAATGTTTGATCACTGTTACCAGGGGCAGCTGCCAACTCCTACCAACAGCTCCACATGCATTTATATTTTCACACATAAGGGAACTCTCTTACCATTAATACACTCATGTTATGAGTAGGATATAAAAAAATTATACAGGGAATTAGATGAGTCCAAAGAAAAACTACAATACAATCAGTACTGTCATACTTACTCCTCAATAACTTTCAATTTTTCTCCTTTTTTGAAGGACAAGTCATCTTCATGAATGCCATCATAGGGATACAAAGCTACCACAATGACTCCATGCTCCTCTGTTTCTACAAAGGTAAAAAGCCAAAGGCATGTTCGCGTTATTTCGCAGGCTGACATGGGCATAGCACACAGCAGTAAGATTCCTATGAAAACGTACCTTCACTGACAAATCTTTGTCCTGGTAAAAGCTGTGCTTCTGCATTTGCCTAGAATAAAACATGTCTTTAATTAAGCAGTTTTAGATCTTTGTGACAATCTTATATTACAATTACATGTTATTCAGTTGCTTCATTCCTAATTTATATGTTAAATTAAATGTTAAATTAAATGTTAAATATATGTTAAATTAAAAGGAAATGCTCCAATCTTTTCCCAGCATTCTTCAAAAGCGAATTACAACATAAAAATATAAGCCCCCATTAGATTTTGAATTGAGCAGCTAAGACCTCGGGAAGGTGTGACACAAGCTGCGGGGAGGAAGTTCACAGCTTTGTGACTTCTGCTGAAAAGGCTTTAGGCAGGGCACTTTAACAGGAACAACCTTAGCAACACAACCGTGCTTGTAGTTCTTTATTAACATGTGGCTGTCATGCTAAAGAACTACAAGCACGGTTGTGTTGCTAAGATTGTGCAAGGGAAAAAAAAAAAAAAAAAGAGTAATTAAAAAAAAAAAAATAATGGTAGTTTGCGATGTGTGTACGTTGGCTGAGAGCACGCTGAGTCCACTGTGTCAGCTGGTGAGAGGGGAGAGAAGGGTGTCATTCACACCTGCAGAGAGCATGACCCCTGAATAAGGGCAGTCAGGAAAAAGAGTTTCCTCAGCACAGTAGAGAGGGTGGGGAAAAAAGGTACCAGTCAATATGCAAAACAGCAAACCCACTTGGTACCTGACGGGATTCCCCTTCCCAGCACCCTTCCTTTCTAATGCCAGGCAGCACACACGGAACTGCCGCTATCTTGTTCCTCTTGCGGCAGGGTGCCGCTCCCTTCAGCACCGCACCCTCCGCTCCCCTCCCGTCCTTACCTACGCACCTCGTGCAAGGGCGAGTAGTGGCCTTCAGTCAGTAAAGGGAAAGTTGACTAGAGCTGGTAAAGAATCGCCCATGATTACCTCAGCCTTTTTAAACAGAATAACCAACACCTGGAGACCATAGCTATTAAAAACCCAATGCCGATGCTTTTGAAAACGGTTCTAAACTACTTCAGGTTTTCTAAAGTCACCTAGCGTTCTTCTACAGACGTAGCTATATCTAGATCAAGCATTGCCAAGGATTACTGTTTTCATGCAGAAAACTATGACAAACATATAGTGATTAAGTAACAAACCGCCAATTTTTATTTTTTATTTAAGTACTAATTCATTGAGGGTGAACTGCATGCTAAAAGCCCAGTTGTGGACTAATGATCATTTGATTTCTTCATGCATGTGTTTTGGACTGACATTTAAGTTATGCCAGTCATGCTTTGATCTCGCTACTGGAATTCTCCCCTGAGACTATCTACTTACTGGCCTTTGCTGTTTATTGGACGTTGGATCCCTCACATAAATAGTTCGTTCAGTTTTACGTACTGGTTGATTCTTCAAATCTAGCCCATCTCCATGCAGACTGTCTTTCCTTTTTGATTTTATACATCCCATATTTCCTGTTGAAATAAAAAAGGTATTAAACAAAAAACATTATGCTATAAACCAAGCCGTTTCCCATGCAATCATCTGGGCTATGCAGCAAAAACGTGCTTCCTTTTCATACACAATAGTTCACGGGGAGAGCAACTGAAGGTTAGGAACACATGCTGAAAGCTCTTTTCTGCTGCAAAGAAAAGAAATGACTTCTTGTCTCAGTTCACAGATGAAGCAAATATTTCAAAAGAGTTATTTACCATTTCAACATTTTCAGATTTATCATTTTTTCTCCCCTACCCCCCCCCAAAACCCCTTACATCTTTCTGATACTTCTGTGAGCTTCAGAATAGATATAAGAAAAATATAATTACTGTAGTGACGACTTATTTCTGTATGTTTTAGAGAAAAGGCTGCTTTGGAAGATGTAGGAAAAAATTCCAGTCCAAATGATGAGAACCGTAGCTTCAGTTAGCAACGCCTGTATCTCCCCACTTCATTTTGCGTATGCCAGTCTAGCAGGGAGCTCCGTTTGATTCAAATCCCCATCTGACATGAGCATGATGACTTGTGCAGTCCCAGCTCCGTGGCAGATACGCTGCTACTGTGACTTTCAGTAATGAATCTCCTTGTTCAAACAGGCCTGCTACAGCAGTCTAAAATAGCCAATGTGTGCATCAGTGATGGCAAATCACCACACATGTATTTCTTTTTCAATACAATTTAGAAGGATAAACCTTGTCTCAGGATGCACATCCATGCTAAATCGGGTGAGATACAGCTGACAGCATCTACATGACTGGAACCTGACTGCTAATCCCATGATGTAATTCCATAGTACTTCAGCAAGCATATATACAACATTATCTCTATATTCCTCCCTCAGAGGAGGGTAATTATACTTACTCTTCAAAGAATCCACTATGAATGCTTTTCAAACCTCTCCTTCCTTCCTCTCTCCCTCCTTTCAGGTCAGTGCTCTAATGCTAGGTTCACAGTCATGTTTTCCCTTGCAGGCACACACTCTCATTCCTCCCCCACCCCCCCTAATTAATCTTTAAAGCCAGTTTTTGAAGAACAACGGAAAACCTAAAATAAGAGCTCAGCGCATATATGGGCTCAAGTAAACCAGCACTGACTAAAACACAGCTGGAGAAGCCAGAGCAGATTGTAACACCCTATAGTACATCTCACTTTTACGTTCATCTGTAGGATAGAAAAGGTCATCATAGTAAAGAGTTAAAGTAGTAGAGGTGTTCACTTGCAGACACAACTGTTTCAATGGGATGGTGCCTTACACACCCTACCCCTGTAGGTAAAAAAATTAGCCAGATTGGTCTGGGTTCATATTAAGACTTGTACTTTTGTTACAATATTGATAATAAACATAATCCTAACTGACTGTAACAACAAACCAAGGCCACAAGCACTCCCACGTGGCAGGTCTCAACTTCCCACGTCGCCTTCATTTAATCTCCCATCCTGCTGTTGAGGAAGCAGCACGTAATGACAGATGCACTGTCCTATCCATGGGCTGAGTGTTTTCTTCTAAACATGAGAGGAGGGTACCCTCCTCTCCTACCATTTCTGCAAATTATCCGTCACCTACTGCCAACAGATCTTGGGTGACCCTAAGATTTCAGCAGTGATGCAGTGAACTGTGATACTGGTTTAAAAGCAGCACGAGAACTCATTGCTCCCCATCTTGTCTTCTCTTGAAATAAAAATTAAAAGGAATCATACAGAAAATCAATAGGCACTGACCAGGCATAATCATCCCACAGAGGTAGAGAATACAGTTTTGTCTTCTTGTGTGTCAACATTTCAGTGTTCCCATACTTGTTTAAAGGCACTGGGGGGGCACCTTCAGCCAGGATCTTCCCTTAGAAGCAAACATCTTTAATGCTTAATTTTAGCTTGTGCAAACACCCATTGGGAGATTTTTCCAAATTCTCAGCTCTACCTGGGTTACATACTAGTTGTTTTGAAATACCGAGAAGGATTTATTTATTTATTTGTTTGTTTGTTTGTTTATTTATTTATTTATAGATGACTCTTGTTCTGTGGTTCATAGGAAATTTGTGTACACCCACAGGCAGGCTGGCATTTGCGTGCTCACCCCAGACATCAGCAAGCCAGTGTTTAATTACCTGCTGTATCTGCAAGATCAGGTATTTAGCCACCTAAGTGCTAACCTTTTGCTCTTGAATAGTTCTGCTTGGACAGAACAAACAGCTAAGGTGGAGGACATAAGGTAATTTGATATAAGTTGTCAGCCAAAAATCCCTTTCCCTATTGCTGTAAGAAAGCTGGAGATATCTTTAGAGACTGCAGCTTGCCCAGTGCCAGTGTAAACTCAGAGAAAAGCATTTTTACTCAGATTTTTTTCTGCAGCTTAAAGCACAAGAACAGCTGTAACTCAAGCCTGCTGTGAAGTTGTGCTGGTAAGCTCAAGGTTAGCATTTGTTCGTGACGGTAGCAACAGCAGATCAGTAATGCCAATGTGCAGGTGCTCCATAATCCCACAGAAGTCCGCTCTATGTCACATGAAATCACACAAATACTGCATGTGAGATAACATATATGATGGCACCAAACAGAGAGAAGATCCTGAGCCTCATCATGAAGCACTGCTGGGTTTTTTTTTCCCCTCATGGAGATGAAAGCCCGTAGTCCTCACAGGACTTAGCTAGGTCTACATTAGCAAATACCAACACCAACAGTTGGTGCTGAAGCCCATACCTGTTTCAAGGGGGGGTTACTGCCCCATTCACTCCAGTATAGCCCCAAGGACTAGAACATTCAGTAGGAGCAAGGCTATAGCAAGAGTTTCTGTAAAGGTAAGCCCTGCACTGCATCTTCATAAAGCAGTCCCATTCTTGCACCCCAACTCTGCTCCACAACACTACCTACAGCCTAGCAAGTGGGGAGTACTACTTCAGGAGTGGGATCCCAGACTAACTAAAATGCTGATGTAGACATACCCTGAGACTTTTAGCTTCTTTATAAAACAAGCCTCTTAAACCTTGCAAAAGAAATCTATGAAAAATATGCAATAACATAAAATGAATGTTTAGCACGTAAATATCAATATAGTTAAATATCAATTTAAAGTTAATTATCAATATAGTTAAATATATATCAGTTAATATATTTAATAATATATGATATATCATTT